AACAACTATAAAAAAGAACAGGAATACAAAAAAGAACAAAATCTATTATTAAGAAAGTTTAAAATATACCATATGAAACTGTTTTCTTATATTGTGTTATATTTGTTTACTACATATTTGTTTTATGGAAAAGGTTTCCACTCGGTATTGGGAGAACTGATACTGAATAATATTATTCACACAAAAATGCAACAATGGAAATTTAATTGTTACAGCACATTCTTTATTATTTTGTTTTTATTAAAAACACTACGCCGTCGATAACTGATGTAGCTAATTAAAAATTATAAATAGATGCAGCCTCTAGATAAATCATGCATAATACTTGTCACGATTCGATAGATTATTTAATTTTATAACGCTTTGTAAACCATTTATTTGTTTTATCACGTTCAGTTAAAAGCATGTTTAAATTTCATTTAAAAATGTTTTTTTTTTTAATTTTTCAATGAACCTACACAGTTGCATTATGTCATGATATTCATCTGTAATTCCAACGATTACTTACACAAAATTGACGATCACTATTCTAACTATTTTGTACATTTAATTGTATACTATCTGCATAACTTTTTATGAAACTAATTAGTTAGTGATTTTTTTTATTTGGTATATTCTGACCACATCCTTTAATATACCTAAATTAAATAGTATCTTATCTTCTGTTAATAAAATAAACCGATTTGTGTCGGAATAATGCAGATAATATCAGCTAATTTGGTATAAGCGGAAACAGGCTATGATATGGTGAAATATAGGGAAGTTATTATAATGTAGAGAACTACTAATAACAACATTTATATTTAATATTAATTTTTTTAGATGAATATTTTCTATTTTTAATAATCGTGTATAATAGATGACGGTAGTTAGATTTAGATTTATACAGGGTCGCTGATACGTATGTATAATCCGGTCAAAATAAACGTTTCAAATAACGACAATTCCGACAGAGCTAAATTTTGGTGGAGACCTTGGGTACACCATTAGAAATAAAGTGTCAAAAGTCCCCATCGATCCCATATATGCTAAAAATATATTCGGGGTCAAAGGTAAAAATTTTAGGTTTTTTGGATTTTTTTCGAAAACGGTAAGTTTTATCAAAAAAGTAGCCCAGATTATCTACAAAAATGGTTCTTATACTTTTTTTTCTAAGAATTACCATTCCTGAGATATCGCGATTCTAAAAGTTGAAGGAGTCACGTTCTACATGATATGCACACATTTCCACACCACCTGTGAGGTAGTGTACTTTGGCGCATTTTTTTAATGTGGTTTCCCCGGTAGACCTACTCCACGAACTGTTATGACGGAATTTTCAGGGACAATACTCTTTTAACTGCATGATGGTTATTGATATTGGTTGTTGACTTTAACTTTAGTTCTGATTTCTTTTGATATTTTAATCTGATCTTCAAAGTCGACTTCAACAATCATGTCTTCTTCGATTTCTTCTTCTTCCTCCTCTTCTTCCTCTTCTTCTTGCTGGATGTTCATAAATTGTTCAAATGAAGATGAGTCAGCTGTCTCATCATCGAAATCACATGAATCTTCGTATGTTGTATTCAATTGGACATTTGAGCAAGAGTGGCTTTGGCAATTAGTACACGCTGGAAAACACAGTAACCATACTTTTCTGCAGACACATTTAGCACTACAACCTTTTTTGCAATTGCAAAAAATAGTGTTTAGTAGTTTTTCCTGAGCAGGTGGGAGTAAAGTTTGAATCGGTTCCAAAGTATTAACTGTTAGTTTCCAACCCCAGTCTTCTGGGTTCAGTTGATTGCCCAGCCATGTCTGAACTTGATAGTATACTCGATACAAGTGTTGATTAGCAGAAGCCGATGTTGGAGAAAGACAAGATAGTTGTACTTGTTTCTTGTATCGTGTATTTTTTACAAAAGTTTTTACAATAGAGTAGCCAGATGTTATTCAAGGCCATGCGGGTAGAGGGGATTGACTAACGGAATGAGTTTCTTTTGATTGTAGAACGTGACTCCTTCAACTTTTAGAATCGCGATATCTCAGGAATGGTGATTCTTAGAAAAAAAAGTATAAGGTCAATTTTTGTAGGTACTAAGATCTATAATTTTTGTCCGGGCTACTTTGACCCCGAATAACTTTTTTAGCACACATGGGATCGATGGAGACTTTTGACACTTTATTTCTAATGGTGTACCCAAGGTCTCCACCAAAATTTAGCTCAGTCGGAATTTTCGTTATTTGACCACTATTTTTATGACTAATTTGACCGGACTAGTATGGAAACGGTCGATTATCTCCTAAAATAGGATAGCTATCGAAAAATCACAAGCGTTTTAGGGTTTTTTAAAACCCATCACAATATAGAGAAATTAAGTATACAGGATCAGTCAAATAGTCATGACGAAACAAAGTTGCTTTTTGACTAATGTATTATTTCATATTTCAATTCTTCTCGAAATTGTAGACAAAATTCATATAGCACATCATGTACCTAAATTAACCATCTCCGAAATATCGAACTTTGAAAGTAACTTTTTACTACTCTCAAACTTATAAAAGAAAAACGAACCCCAAATTATAGATATTTATTTTGAAAATAATCCAAGGTGAAGGATATGGATATGATTTCAGGGTTGATAAAAATGCATGAAACGAAAAAATGTATTTTTAATTAATGTCCTGGATATTTCAAATTTTATGAAAACAATAGTTATGCCATAATAAAAAAATAGAGAAAACAAGTTTTAATAAGCAACAAATATTTTCTTTAGAATTCTATTTCATAAGGTGCTCAAAGTGTTCACCATTTACCTCCTTACAGTAATGAATTCGCTGATCAAAATTTTGTAGTGAGTTTAAAAAGGGAGTTGGGAGGAATAGTGATTTCATGCATTATCCTTTCCTTCAACTTTTCGATATTTTGCGACCATTTCGAGAGGCCTATCTGACCATTCACTTGCTCCTCTGCGTATCAGGAAAAGTTTTATCTAGATATGCCCGTACCACACGTCCCAAATGTAGAATAGGCCCATCAAGTTGCAACCATATTTGTTTTGGCGTTAAATTGGAATTGTTTTATTGTTGGGGAATAATCGCCTAAGTTGTGGCATAATATGTTCTTGCAAAAGTAATAAATATTGTTCATAGGTCAAATTTCCGTTTATTAATAGGGTCCTATGACATGTCCACCAATTTATGTGGTCGTTGAGTGTGAATTTCCTCCATCCAATGTGAATTTTGTCTAACACCATGAAAAATTTGTTTTTAGACTGTATAACAGGTGCATCTTTGGCTTTTGCAAATATTGACTGATGGATCACAACATCAATACATTCATGTCCATTAAATAAACTAAATTTGTAAATATATCGAGGATAATAAAATTGTTCATGGCTACTTGGAAAATTATAATCATTATGCATACCTACCTGTAAATAATCATCGACATAGCTGTTCACCTTGGTAACACCGTTTTAGGTCATAGATGAGTTGTGTGTAAACACATGATTTCTTATATACTTATGTCCAAGTATAAGAAAAAACGGTTTTCACCATTTGTACTTCACTAGAAACTATCGATACAAAAATATATAATTTTTATAAAGAAATTATTGAGATTTACATTACATTTTTTATATATTATTCATATCACTTTTAATTAAAGAAGTTAATTTTTTTTTTCTTCATTTCATTTTCTTTCTTTCTTCATTTTTGTCTTACAGATCTCCTTTTCTAACATTTATTGGCTTATGAAAAAAAAATAATAAGAATGCAGTAGGTTATTTAAAAAACCTCTTTATAAAACTACCGATGCGACTATTCCAGTCAGACTTTTCTTGGCCATCGCCTTTATGAAATATTTTTCATAAAGATATTCACTACCTTCCTTAGATTGCGCGAAATAGAAATACACTTAATTATTATTAACATTCGGACAGTGTATAAATATACATATTTCAAAACACATTATTTATAAAGTGCAACTACTAAAATATTTAATTATGTCAGCTCCTTTTATATCTGTATACGTTGATAATATTGTGTTGACCACAAACATTTTTAAATGTTGTTATTTTTTCACTATAACAGTTGATGACAGTTAATATTTTTATTATTAAAGGATGGGGCAAGGAAACAGTCTCAGAAAAAAAAATTTGAGAAAGTAAGAATATCCATTTTAATGTAGACGAGGCACATTTTGAAATAAATTTGACTTGCACAATTGTAATTCGCTAGATAAGGTTCTTGAAGATTTTAGGCCTTTTGATTCTAAACCTGTCTTTAAGCAAATGTGGACCTGCAAAAACAATATTCTTAATCAGCTCTAGATTCTCTACTTTTATTTCGAAGAGCATATATTAATTGTTGAAATGCCTAAATGATCTGCGTTTGTGTTGTTCATTATCCATCATCGTCATCCAACATTGAACGTTTATTAGGTCGCTCCATTGACTCTTGCTTATTATAAGCAGTGAAATGCAAAACCCATGATTGTCTCCTTTGTCATTTTGACTCCAACACTCACCAGCGTATGTACAGGTTCAACATCGGGTAGTTGAACTGGCATAGATTTTATGATAATTTGGATGGTCAGTATAACGACTCACGTAGCAAATAACGTGTAATTTTTTCTTGTTGGATCACTTAGCCCACCCGCTGTTTAAGTTTTCGGTTACGCCAGATGTAATCGGACTTGATCGAGATCTTCATCAAATCAGATCTTCCTTCTCCGAATACATAACATCTTTTGTAAATGTGAATCATTGTTGTGTTATCAATTTCAGATTCATTGTTTAAATTTCTTTAGAATTCTTATAGGGCAGTTTGAAACAGGCTTTGTCGAGAAATGTTTTGCTTTAACAAATTCATTTCGTTAAACATAAATTACTATGAAATATAACTTCAGAGTTAGTTATACAGTTGCATGAATTTTATGGACAATTATTGAATACAGTGTATAAAGTATATGTATTGCGATTCCTTGCACCATTTTAATTTTCAGCTATTTTTTACAGCTACATCTCCTAGAGACATCAAGGATGAGGTAGAGATAGTACCTTTGGAACACAATCCTTATGGAGATCAACCTATTGTCGACACGGGAATCATTGGGTATGGACCATTTTCAAATCCTTTTAGTGGTCTTTTGGAAAATCTTGAAGGTATGTGAATATTGTTGTCTTATATCTATTAGAAAATTGGAATCTTAAATATGTATATTTAACATTTTCTATAATATATAATTTATAATATATAATATTTTCATAGCAATGATTTAACTATTCCTACCGAGTATTCATTATTATTCTTGGCGTTTTGTTGGTTATGCTTCTTCAGAGGAAATGCTGATAGTTCAGCAGACAATTAAAATACAGTAAAAGACTACAAAAATGATTTACCCAATTAATATCTATTTTCTTTATTCTTGACAGGAGTAGGACATTTCTCGGCTATAATAAAGGATTTACGAGTTATTTGTTACACATAAAAAAAAATCCTTGAATTTACTGACTTCAAATTACTCTGATAGCTCAAAAACGGCAATATTTGTTTATAATGGTTTTGTGAGTTCAACTCAAATACATAGGTATCTCTATTTCATTTAGATTTATTGGCCATTTTAAATGGTTGCAATTACAATGTGTTGGAGTAATAATTACCGTTAAAACCATACTTAGTAAAATCATTGTTTAAAAATAATAAAAAAAATTCATACGAATATTGGTTAGTGAACACTTTGACATATCGAGTGACATATTAGAACGTATTTTATTATTCTCTACAATATGAAGAACTTGTAGACTAGGCGGTATCTGTTTTGGTTTGGGTGAATCGTATATCCACGGAGATTTTTGGCTTTTTGGCTTTCAAATATCAGTAGAAATGAAAATTTTTCTATGCGCATAAAAAAAACGTGCGCTTAACTTTTGGCGGCACATGTTAAAAAAATTTGAAAAATGTCATTTTTCTTCCTATTTAATTGTTTTTTTTAATCGCGAGACATCGATTTAAAAAAAATCATCAAAATCGGATCTCTAGAAGCTGAGATATTAAAAATTTTTAAGCGCATCGAGATTTTAAACTAGCCGATTCAATTTCGAGCAGGCCGAAGCGCCCGCGCTCTCTGCTTCCTCCACCACCCCCACCCGTATGAATTTCTTGAATTTCTCGCTTTCAGAAATAACTTTAAACACGTTTTAAAGTAGGTTGCCAATGAAGAAAAGTACTGCAAACTTAGACGTGGTAAGTACTCGGAATATCAAAGGTATTTTTTGAAAAATTAGCCCGGATGTAGTGTAAATGACGGTTAACTTTGATTGGCTATAACTACGTAATTAATTGACCAATCGATCTGTTTTTTTTTTTAAAGAAACGTCTTTCCAAGAACTTTTAAAACCTGCTTTAAAAAATTTGATTTTATTGAATATTCCCAAAGTTATTCTAATTGCTTATAAGTACAAAAATTCGACCAATGTTTAAACAAGCGCCAGAGCTCTCCTAATTGACCGATTCCAATTTTACAAAAAGCGTTTGAAACCTTGAGATCCCTTCTATATGTGATTTCCAGTATCTAAGGGTCTTGGTTTTTGCTGTGTAAAATTTTGAAAATTTGCACATTTTTTTTCAAAATCTGGATTGCAAAATTATTATGCAAAATCTATAGAACTGATTTTGATGAAATTTGGTGTGATGATTCTACATAACATGAAGTTTTCTTGAGTCAAGTATGAAGGTCATATACCCAATTTAAAGACACAAAAAAAAAATCCCTAAAAAGTAATGTTTTTAATCCCATACATATTTTGTAAAAAAGTTTTATTACAAACATTTTTTCCTCTTCTATTTTCGCCTAAAATCAACTCTTGAAAAGTTACATAATTAAATAAGAACAAAAATATGACATTTTTCAAATTTTTTCAACATTTTGTGCCGCCAAAAGTTAAGCCTACGTTTTTTTATGCGCATAGAAAAATTTTCATTTCTAGTGATATTTGAAAGCTAAAAAGCCAAAAATCTCTGTGGATATACGATTTACTCAAATATGGACTTTTTGAAACAAGTACCGTATGGACTATTGTGGGTCTAATTTGTTATTAAATTTGGTAATTCTAAATTAGTATAGTGGACAGTACAAAGAAAAATTTATTTAGTGATCTGATGATGGTGGTAACGAAAGCTTCCATAGTGATTTTTACAGTTTAAAGTCTGTAAACTTTTTGACATAATAAAATGACTTGAAATAGAAAATAGTGTTATTTCTACAAAGTGAAGGGCCAACACCTGAAAGTTATACGCTGTATTTTATTGTTATATATCAAACTTGATTCTTCTAAACTTAACTGTGCAAAAGATTTTCTAATCAAAATTTATACATTCTAATAACTGAAAACAATTAAATTTGAAATTAATTGCCTTCTTTTAATACCTTCTTTTCCGCCTCCAGCCATGCATTTTCCGCGTAATCTATTCGAAAAATAGACACTGATCATTAGTAATTAATTTGCTTCCTTCATAATTATTTCAATTAAATTAAAGTCATAGGTAAATCTAAATAGGCTGTTGTGAGGGAGTGGGTGGGCTTATTTTTTTTATTACATGTGTAAAGTAGGAATGTAGACGTTCTATTTATAAACAAATACCGCGTTGAGGAAGTCCGCAGTTCGAATAGCAATGGTGCCTCTTCGATTGTGTAATTGTTGTACAGGTATTGTGCATTACGTTTTTTAAATGTGACATACAGTGACTGAATAGAGTTTGTTCAGTCTATTTGAATATATTTAAATCTACCAACAGTGCTGGTATAGTTTTATAAATGTATAATTTAAACTGTGCCCAGGCCCGGATCCAGAGGGGGTGGCGATGTGGCGATCGCCACCCCCAAAGCACAACATTTTTTAAAGATCTTCAATTTCTCCAAACGACAACAGGCAGTTAGTCGATATTAATGCAAGTAGAAGGATTCATTAGTGTCAAGCTCCTCTGAAAAAGTGCCACATTTTTCATTAGTTTATTGCTATTTTGCAATGCAAATTTTAAAAATTTTGGTTCGCCAATATGCCTATCTTGTACAACATTCAATAATGAACAAAAAATCTTTAGTTACTTTTTTTCGTCCGAGGCTTCCTTTACGAATAATAAGCGATAATATCCGAAAAAACGGGCCATTTTTGAATTATTTTGCACTTTTCATTAATTTAAACAAACTTCCCATGGTTTTCAGCTTTCCGCAGGTCGATATTCCGAATGTACACATTTTCCCGGTTCGATTAAAAAAAAACAGGTTTACATCAAGCAACAGCCATTTCGGCTCGTTTTTTGGCTCCGCCGACTGGACTATTATGACTTTTAACGAAACGGAGACAGGTCGATAGAGCCAGTCAATAGATTGCCTGTCTGCCTGTTAGGATTTTCCGTACGCCTGTCTCAAAACGTTTATGGCGCAATAAATTTTTATGGCTTGAATGGGAAATTT